TGGCTAAAGGATGTTTATTTTTTTTTTCTAATTGCTAAGATTCTGGATCTTGGAAAATCAGAAAATGAATAAAGTTTTCTAACAATATTAAGTATTGGCATGCTGGAAATCATTTAAAAGATAAACCAAAATTTAGAATACTGGGAGATTACAAAATGTTGTCAACCCTCAAAGAATCTAGATTTAAATTACAGTTGGAGGAAATTTCAAAATCTCTATACTTCAAAAGGAAGTATTGTCAAGCTTGCGGTAAATTTTCAAAAATCCGAAGTTTTAAATTAATATTTTGCAATACATATTTGCAAAACTAAGTTTTAAAAATAGTCTTGATGATTTTGGAATTAAACTGTTTTTTTTTTTTAGAAAAGTAAAACGTACCCAGCAAAATTTAATTTAAATATCAAATCAAAGCGGATGCACTTTATATGTGTCGAAAATACGTTGTAATTTAACTTGCCAAAAAGGACAAAATTATCATTAGTACAACGCATGAACCGACATTACGGTGCTTTTACTGCATTTGTTTATTTTTGTAGCCAGAAAAGTTACATGAGATTTTTGACATGATTGAAGTGATGCTATATTAAATTTATTTTTTGCTGTGTGGATCAAGAAGATTCTACATTTCAAGCATTTTCAGGATTCCAGATAGAAAGATAATTGATAATGAACGCTTCGATTTTCTTCGTATCCAAGAGTTTTAACTATATTTATGTTTGTATTACTTCTGCGTGAAGTTAACGATTTTACAAACTTGAAGATGCCAAGGTACGAATCGGGATAATCATCTCTCTTTACCAAACTCAACCGTTGGAGGAGAGGGATGGTGAGGGGTATCCTCCCTCACGCACAGTGGAGCAGCGAAGCCATTCGTGTGGCCAAAACCTCTAGCGCCGTTGGTTTGCTTTCTACAGCAATACAATGTTGTAGAAAGTTGCTCAATATTAAAAGCACCATCTTTTGAAAGTTTCATATAAGTTCATTTTTACGCCACATAGGCGCTCGAGTCTATCTTTTGAACGGAGCATCCTAGCCAAATGGTTTTTATGGAAAAGTTGTGTAATTTGAAGTGTTGAGAAATGCTGTCCAAGACATCGAAACTATATGACTCACATTAAGCGAGATATCGGGCAATTAGGAAAACTAACCTCTAAAATTGTGTTTTTTTCCTTTTCTTCACCTATATACAATTGAAATTTCTCATGAAAGTCATCTTCTAAAGACTTTTAAAACTCTGTTGTCTGTATCTCTTCTAATAAAAAAGATATACCCGAATATAGTAAAAAATATGAATTAATTCAAATTGATTTTTTACGAGTTTAAAAAATAACATACCTCCAATTTTTTCATGTTATTGAGAATAACATACGCCCTTTCAAATGCTGCAAAAAACTTTTTTTTTGTTTGCCCCAACCAGAGATAATAAAATTTGAAAAGTGCATATTTTTAGTATAAAAACGTCAATAACTCTTGATCGGCGAAAGATATTGATAAGCTTTGTGGGGTAAAAATTTGCGCCTTCTTAAGATCTAAAAGTTATTTGAAGACACCTTTGCTGAGAAATTCGAAATAAGAAAACTAGAGCAAAACAACTGTTTTTTTAAAGCCACCCTAACTCAATTCAAGAAAATAGCTCTAAATCGGCCAATTTAAGAGATACAAAAAAGTTGTTTGGTACAAAGTTGCTTGAAATTAGATCAACTATAACTTTGCCCGAAAATATATACCTTAATTTATTCAAACAAATAAGTTATATTTTTGATTTTAATGATGATAGGAACCACCCTAGAATTCATTGTCATAAAAATGAGGGCCTAATTATAAGGAACAACTTTGTAGAAAAGACTTTTAGTCTAAAGTTTCAATTTCAGGCTCAAAGCATATCATTCCACCTAAATCTGCATTCTGGACCACTGTGCACTGTGCCACGCCACCATTGGCAAAAAGAGATGATCACCGATTTGCTCATGACAGGAGCACATACAAGTGGTAGAGGTAACAATAGCTGCATTTTCAAAACCTACGACTAGATGTTTCCCTCCAGAACACAACTTGAGTGCGGTACAATCGATAGAACTGCTTGAAAACACATCGTCGGTACATGAGCAAATCGGTGATCATCTCTTTTTGCCAGTGCTTGCTCGCTTTTTACTCTCTATATACAATTTCCACAATGGCGTACTCTCAAGGAACTATCAAATCTAACAACGGACCGTATAGACAGCTTTGAGTAGACCCCTTACAGAACATAGTGAAACGCGTGGAGAAAGCACTAAAGGAGTGCAAATCGATATTAGGAGATGGAGCAGGTCGTTTACGGGAACCCAATCCCATTCTACCCAGGATCAAAGGTCTCCCCAAAGTCCACAAACCAGGAAATGAAATGCGAGAGATCGTGTCTGCAGTTGGTTCCCCCACCCACAAACTAGCGAAGTGGCTAGTCAAAGAGTTCCAGAGTATGCCGAATCAGTTCCAGAGTAAAGCAGTTAGTAACACCCAGGAGTTCGCCCAGCAACTACAATCTTCAGGAGACATCAACGAGGACGAGATTATGGTATCTTTCGACGTCACAGCTCTTTTTCCCAGTGTACCGGTCAAGGAAGCAATCAACCATTTGGAGGACTGGCTATTAACACAACGAGAGGATGCAGCATGGAGAAACAAGGTTCGGACGTACCTTAAGCTGACCCGCCTTTGTAAGGAAGAGAACTACTTCTCTTTCCGAGGTAACTTCTACAAGCAGACGAAAGAAGCCCCAATGGGAAACCCCTATTCCCCTTCTTGTGTGAACTTTTCATGGCCAACTTGGAGACAATCCTGAAGGAGAAAGGACTATTACCAAACCGTTGGTGGAGGTTTGTTGACTATATCTTCAGCGTAGTTAAACGGGAAGCCCTTCCACAAATCTTAGATGAGATCAACAGAATTCACAAGGATATCAAATTCACTCACGAGGTATAAAAAGACGGGAAACTTGCATTTCTCGATCTTCTAGTCATCAGGGAATCGTCATCATCTTCCTCGCTTGAATACGAAATCTACAGGAAACCAACAAGCACCAAAAGAGTTATCCCCTATACTTCCAACCAGTGCTGAGATTTGTCATTGTCATTGACAGACTTTCGCGCGATATTGACAAAATTGTTCGTCACATAGTCACTGACAGACTTGATCCTCAAAAAAACCTTCGTCAAAATCTCATTCATTTTTTCGTCAATGACAAAGATTCACCTGATAACAAAAAGTGTAATTTAGAACATTCTGTGTCACATTATTGTTATCCAAGTAGCTCAGGACGTAGATACTTGTTCACTTAAATGGATCCATGGAATTGTTTTGCTTAAGTCATTTAATTTTGTTACAAATTTAGCTAATAAACAAATCTGCACATGTTCGTCACTGACACCATTGTCATTGACAATTGACATGGTTTGCCTTGACTATGACTGTTAGCTAAAATGAGTGACCAAAGCAGAATTGTCAATATCACCGTGTACTGTCAAGATTTTGCAGCACTGCTTCCAACCATTCGTTCCAGCAGAAAATGGCCGCCTTTCACCACATGATTCATCAAATGCAGACTCTTCCACTCAGCGATACAGGAAAGGTTAAGGAATTACAGTACATCTTCGAAACAGCAAGACTCAACGGATACAAGGAGACCACAATCTAGGCAATCATCGATAAAAAAGCGAGAATTCTACAAAGGAGATTATTTACAACCCTCACCGCAGCACCTGAACCATTGAAACGAGTGTCCGTTCTATTTGATCAAGATATTACTTGTAAGCTAAGACCACAGTTAAAACAATTCGGATTAGATTTAGTTTTCACCAGTAGACATAACCAGTTGAAATCATAGTTAGGATTCACTAAAGACCCAGTTAATGTTTTAGGTAAAGCAGGTGTATATAAAATAAGCTGTAATCATTGTAACAAAGTATATGTAGGACAAACCAAGAGAACTTTAGCAACTAAATTTAAAGAACGTATAGTGGAGGTTAATAAGGCCAAAAAGTAAGAGGAAAAAGGCCTAACATATGAGGACCACCAACTATCGACGGAGGACATCACGATTTTACGAACCGTATCTACACCATGGAAATTGGATGTTGCAGAAAGCCTCGAGATCAACAAACAACGTAATTCAACTTTACTCAACAGGGATCAAGGAAACGGACACACATGGCTTTTCAAGTAAACAGCGGAGTACCTGTTCCTATAGAAAATTAAATTTAAGTTTACCTAGTTTCTAAGTGAAAATGTACCTGTGTTAATATATATTCGGTAAATGCGATGTTTTTCTTCAGTCGAGTATTAGTACAAGACACTGAAGAAGTCTGCACATTGTAGACGAAATACGCGTATCTGTCAAGGATAAGCAAATAAAGTAGTGGAATTAAATGGAAAATACTAATCCTTCTCTCTCTCATTATACAGGTATTCCATTAAGACGCCCACATTCATCAGGATTTAGTTCCCGAAATGTTCTGGCTTCTTGAGCCTCCTCGCTTAACATACCAATTGGAAGCAATGCAATTTGGATTGCTTGCGAACCGTGGATTAAAACCTTATGGACACAGGCTGGCATTGGATACCATTTATAAAGGCTAACATAAAGACGAGCAGTTCCTTCAGCACAATTTCGAAATGCTGTTATGTTTATCGAAAATCCGGAAGACAACGTACGAAGAATTGTATCGCATCGGTCAATTAAGTCTTCATTAATACCAGTTATTTATTGCCACCGGTTAGGGAGGGGGGGTATGCTGTTATACCTAATCAATGGCCACAATGGGTCACAAATTCTGAAACACCCCCCCCCCCCCATGCTGCGTAATTTATGCATGTACCATGATCACGTTCCCGGAATTAGTCAAATTTCCGTTCATTGGCAAAGTTTCAACATTTTGCGATAACCGATTATTTTTTCCTTTATCCACGGTCTTTGCCAAGCTCCAATCACCGTTGTCCATTGATCAAAATTCAATCAATTTTCTTCAAAATGCAATTCCATTCATTGGCTCCCGAATACCGCTATCATCAGGACGATCAACTTCCGTCACAATCTGTTCGATGCCTCGTTTGCTGTCACCTTCGTACTCAACAACACGCTTTTTTCCATCCGGTTGATCCAACATGTACACACCCTTAACGTGATCTCCGACGCGTTTCTCCCACTGATCCTTATGATCACCCGTTATCGGGTCATAGACTCCGTAGGCAAACTCGTAGTTAGGTAGAACAATACCATCATCGCGATCTTGTTGTTCTTCACCCCCTTTCTGAGCTTCTTGACTATCTTTTGGACTTTCTTGATTTTGCTCACTCCCATTTTCATCAAGGGGATTTTTCCTATCATTTTGACGAGCAAGTCCCCACTCCTGGGATTGATCCCCATTCGGTAGATGGCTTTGAGGTGCTGCTAAGCTGGTGGCGATGGCCAAGACCAGTAATACTGATGCAAACTGCTCGAAATAACTACATTTAGAAGTTAATCAAACTAAACAAAGCAATCTCAATCGTACCTTAAACATATTGATGGTTGTTATTCAATCACTATTGGAACTGTTGAACACAACTGCTAGCATTCCGATTGCGTAGCGATGTATTTATACTGAACAATTTATGGTTTTAACGCACATGTTCTTTAAAGCGGTATCGTGTTTATTTTTTCTGGCCAGTGATTTTGCGTGAACCTTTGCCGGTGCTCAGTGCCATTGATGGAGGGCTTGGATGATTAAGCTGGTGTCTGGTCAAGTGTCTAGACGGGTGGAATTGGCATCTAAATTGATATGATTTGATTTCATCATTAGGATTGTATGAATTTTTACACGATATCGGAAAATGTCTGTATGTGCATGTACCGTATGTATTGGGTGGACCAAATATGTATTTTGCTCCACCTAGCTTAATCTATTCCACATAAATCAGGTCCTGATCATTATCCCTCTCATGCTGCATTGGCCCTTTGAAGATTGATCTCCTCATCCTTGCCTATTACCATTGTGAATTACGGATGTAGTTGTAGTAAAATTACGTTATTTCAGCAACCATTGTGTGGTCCTCCTCATTGTTCTTCATCAGCAGTTCTTTCAGTCGAAGCGTCGTCAACTTTGCAAAGCAACCGCTTCGTGATGAATGTGTGAGTGCTGACCACGTTTTGCGTCCATTGCTACAATGGAAGCGCTCTGACCCTCGTTGGCGAATCTGCTATACAAGTAAACCACTGGAAGCGGCTCCCGTTCTGGTAGAGGAGGCTTTTTGGATAGCGGAAGATAAAATGTTTATTGTGTTGTACCTTTTGACTATAGTTTTAAGATGTATTTTATAGTGAACAAGAATCCTCGGCACTGTAAAGTTAATTCGGTTGAGCCTTATCAAATAAATAAATTAATAATAATTGATGAGCAAGCTGGAAGACCTCTTTTTACACTCCAGATACAGGGCCAGGACGACTTGGACTGCATTGATGAGGAAACGGCTCGACTGTGCTAGGTGGATTAGACGGATCAGGGTCTCCCATATTACCTTCTACGATGCATCCCGGAAGTGAAGAAACAGTGATAGGTGATCTTAAGGAGTATCTGTATCTGACCCATCCGATGACTCTGGAGATGCGGGCTGCCTGCGCGTTTTTTGCACGATTGTCTACGAACTAGATTCCTTCCGGCCACGAGTCAGGAATAAAGGCAGTATCACAGTATCATTGCAATCCAAAGCTTCCTTTGCGAATTTGGAAACGGTGTCAGCTTTTACGGACGGATGGAAATGCGAGAGGTAGATCCAGAATACATCTTTATACGTGGGTGGAGCAACGATGATGTCACCTTCTTCCAAAGATCTTGAACCTCTAATAAGTTTACGTACAACATGCAGCGGAAGGGGGAAAATAAATAGATATTGCGCGCATGTATTGTGGGTAGGAATGTGGCAAAGCGGCAGCGGTGCAGCGGTTAGCGCAATTTTAGTACATTACACGTTTGCCGCTGTACCGCTATTCCCTAGAACGTGTAAACTCAATCTGCAATCTAGGCGTTACGATCGATTCCAGGTTAACATTTTGTGAACACATAAGCATCATAACTGCTTAGCTGCATACACTGTGCTTGGTTTCATTCGTCGTCATGCTTCTGGTTTCACCGATGTGTATTGCCTCAAGATACTATTCTGCTCACTGGTTCGTAGTATCTTAGAATATGCTTCCCCAGTGTGGTCTCCATTTAGCACTACGCATACTACCACGATTGAACGGATTTAGAAAAGTTGCATGGAAAGGAGCCAACAAGATCCGACAACGGTGGCAAGTGTTACGTCGAGCGTTCGTGCGGCAATTTTGGAGGCCCAGCTGAAGAATGCGGAAAAGGAACTACGACGACGGGAACACGATTTGATGGAGCAAGCCGAAATAAAGAAGAGGGAACTAGAAGAATCGAAACGCCAGCTGGAGGAGAAGAAAAAGTTAGCAGAAGAAGAAAGAAGTCTACGTGAAAGAAAATTGAAAGAGGAAAAGGAATTAAAGGCCATGCAGTCGCAGTTGAGGAACGAATCCATGGAAAAGCGGCAGGAAATCATTCGGCAAGCAGCTTTCAATAGCAGTAGAGGTGGGTCCATTCCGGAGTCTTTCCAAAAGGTATCGGACTGGCTGGAAGAGCACACGGGTGCTGGAGAATTAGTGGAAGACAATAACGTCAATCCCCACTCTAACAAGTTTCTTATTAACCTAGCACAGCAAGTTGGGGGACGAAATCCGTCGATAGGTGGAAATTTATCTCGACGACCAGCAGCATTACCCCCTCAACCAATAACCCATTCAACTCCACTTCACTCTGGTGAATCACCAATTCCTGCACCTCAAGAACATCCGAATCGGAGCCCGGTTGGTTTCAACCTGAACGATCAACGGCCCAGACAGGTAGCTGATGGTAACCAAAGGTCGATTTCGAATCCTGTCGTGCTTACACAGCAACACATTGCTGCATGGCAAATACTGGGCAAAGAGTTGCCAGTATTTAGCGGTAATCCTGAAGATTGGCCTATATTTATAAGCAGTTTCGACCAGTCCACGATCACTTGTGGATATACGGATGCGGAGAACCTCATCCGCCTTCAGAGGTGTCTCCGTGGTCGTGCTCTAGAAACGGTCAAGAGTAGTTTACCCCTACCAACAGGGGTTCGGCAAGTGATACAAACCCTGCGGACGCTCTATGGTCGACCAGAAGTTCTCATTCGTTCGCTGATCGATAAGATTCATCAAGTGCCACCACCAAGGCACGACCGATTGGGCACATTAATTGACTTCGGCATTTCTGTGCAGAATCTCGTGGACCATCTCATTGAGGCTGATCAAAAAGACCACCTATCGAATCCAGTCTTGATGCGAGAATTAGTGGAAAAGCTCCCGGGATCAATACGGCTAGACTGGGTTGCCTTCAAAACCCGTTCTCAAACAGCTAACCTGGAAACATTGGGCAATTTTATGTCCGGGCTAGTGAACGCAGCGAGTGAAGTCACTTTCGATCTGCCAGGATCCAGCAGTACTTCCAGGGTAGAAAAGCGGAAGCCGGAACGGAAAGAGCTGGGATCTATCCATGCACATACTTATGGGTCAACCGATCCACTACCGGTAGGTTATTCCACTACAATTTTAAAACAACCGGCCAAACCTTGTGTGTCATGTGGCCGTGAGGGTCATCGAGTGGCGGGTTGTCCACAGTTCAAGTCTGCTAACTCTGACGAGCGGTGGAAATTAGTCGACCAAAAGGGACTCTGCAGAACGTGTCTCAACAGCCATGGTAAGTGGCCATGTAGATCTCCCCCTCTAAATGTGATCGTTTCTGCAAGTCACATGTCGCTCGGTGAATTTGCCTGGCCTCTTTTCCGTATGGTGCCAGTAGTTCTCTTTGGAAAGCATGGTCCACGGGTGGTGCTGGCCTTTATCGACGAAGGCTCTTCATTTACACTATTGGAAGACTCTGTTGCCAACGAGTTAGGTATCTCGGGACCTACGGAAGCACTTACTCTTCAATGGACTGGCAACGTGAAAAGGATCGAACCAAAATCAAAGGTGGTGCAAGTCAATATTTCCGGGAAAGATAGTTCAACCAAATACAAGCTAGGTCATGCCAGAACCGTGAGCAGCTTACTCCTGCCGTCTCAAACGCCGAGGTACCGCGAATTGGCTCAACGATATTTCCATCAGCGTGACCTCCCTGTAGAAGAATACGAACTTGCTCAACCAAAGTTGCTGATCGGGTTGGACAACCTTCACCTATGTGTTCCGCTCAAAATTAGGGAAGGGGGCCCGAATTATCCCATCGTTGCCAAGTGTCGTTTGGGATGGAGTATATACGGGAGCATACCGTTCCATACACGTACAGAAGCTGTAGTTAACTTTCACGTCGCAGCGTTGCCTGATCATGATCAAGAGTTGAATGGACAGATGCGCGATTACTTCGCTATGGAGAATGCTGGGGTTTCAGCTCCGTGAAACAAACTCGAGTCCGAAGAGGATAAGTGGGCAATCTGAATCCTGCAAGAATCAACACGCCGCACGGGAGAAGTATCTCGTTTTGAGAGGGGGTTGTTGTGGAAGTTTGACGATCCTGACTTTCCTGACAGTTATCCAATGGCAGTTCGCCGTCTAGAGTCATTAGAACGGAAATTTGAAGCGAATCCATGTTTTGCGGAGCAAGTACGCAACCAGATAGCTGACTACGAGCGCAAAAGCTAGGCGCACAAGGCCTCTCTTACGGAGCTGACGTCCATACCGGCAAACCGGGTCTGGTACCTACCTCTAGGAGTTGTAACCAGTCCGAAGAATCCTGGCAAGATCAGATTAATCTGGGATGCAGCAGCAAAATTAGGTGAAGCTTCGTTCAACTCCAAACTTCTGAAAGAGCCGGATCTGTTAACGCCACTTCCGAAGGTTCTATGCCAATTCCGGCAGTTTCCAGTGACAGTATCTGGAGACCTGATGGAGATGTTCCACCAATTAGGAATCCGGTATCCAGACTGCTTATCTCAGCGATTTGTGTTCCGCGATAGACCTTCCGACTACCCGCAAGTTTATATCATGGACGTGGCCACGTTTGGATTGACTTGTTCTCCAGCGTTGGCACAATTTGTGAAGAATGCCCAAGAATTCTCCTGCAAATTTCCCCGTGCTGCTGAAGCCATAATCAATAAGCACTACGTCGACGATTATCTAGATAGCTTTCGAACAGTCCAAGAAGCGATAGATGTGGTGAATGAGGTGAAGATGGTGCATTCGATGGGAGGATTCACGCTACGACACTTCCTATCCAATGAAGTGGATGTTCTGCGTGGGATCGGCGAAGTTGCAGCAGATGAAAGCAAGAATTTGTTACTGGAGAGAGGAGGATATGTCGAATCAGTGCTTGGGATGCAATGGTTGCCAGAAGACGATGTTTTCACCTATTCCTTCGTTATGAGAGATGATCTTCAACCAATATTGGAAGACAGACATGTTCCTACGAAGCGCGAAGTAGTTAAAGTGGTGATGACCTTGTTCGAT